TTTTCACATCGATATCTAGTTATTCCTATCTCATTTGTTGACCTGACTCTCCTTTTCCCCATTGAATTTCCCTGGCACCTTTGTTGAAAACCAATTAACTGTATATGTGTGAGTCTAGTTCTTGATTCTATTCTATCCCATTGATCTAGTTACACCAGTTTCACACTATTTTGATGACTATAGCTTTTTGGTAATTCTTGAAACCAGGTAGTTAAGTCAACCTTGTCCTTTTTAAAGATCATTTTAGCTATCCTATATCTTTTGAAATGTCATATAAACCTTACAATCAGCTTATAAATTTATTTTTAAATAATCCTGCTAGCATTTTGACTAGATAACTTTAACAGTATAGATCAATTTATGGAAGGTTGGCACCATAATGCCATGGAAGTTTCCAACCCAAGAATGATTTGCCACTCCATTTATTTGGATATTTAATTTCTCATGTTAGATTTTGTATTTTTCATTACAGAGATTTTGCACGTTTTTATTGAATTTATCTCTAAGTAATTTTGTTTTTATTTTCTTTACATGGTATTATTTTTAAATTTTATTCATGGCCCAGAATCATAAAGTATATCTTAGTGAATGTCAGTATGCACTTGGAAAGAATGAGTACTCCGCAATTACTGGATCATCCAAATACTTCAGGTCCAGTGGGTGAGAGTGTTATTCAGATCTCTGTATTCTTATTGGTATTTTGTCTACTTATTCTATTACATACTGAAAAGGGAGCAATAAAATCTCTAAGTATGATTATAAATCCATTTCTTTCTCTTTTTTAAAAATATATTTTAATTGATTTCAGAGAGGAAGGGAGAGGGAGAGAGAGATAGAAACATCAATGGTGAGAGAGAATCATTGATTGGCTGCCTCCCACATGCCCACCACTGGGGAATTGAGCCTGCAACCTGGGCATGTGCCCTTGACCGGAATCGAACCTGGAACCCTTCAGTTCAAAAACTGAAACTCAATCCACTGAGCAAAACCAGCTAAGGCTTCATTTCTTTCCTGTCAATTATTGTTTTCATATACCTTGAAGCTCTGTTATTAGGTACACACAACCTCAGGATTATGTCTTTTTTATTAACTGACCTTTTTATCATTAAACTAGTGTTCTGGAGATAGTCTTTCTTTAAATCTACTTTGTCAGATATATACAAATACTGGTTTTCTGATGTTTGATGTTTGCCTGGTATAGACTTTTTACATGTTTTAATATTCAAACTGTATCTTTATATTTAAATGAATCACTTTTAAAGGCCTTACTTTTTATCCAACTGACAACAACCATTATCTTTAATCAAATGTTCAATCCATTTATGTCTGGTATATCTATGTTGCAGGTGAATTTAAGTCTACTGCCTCATAATTTGTTTATATACCTCTCTTTTCTTTGTTCATTCTTTTAGATCTTATTTTGGGTTAAGTATTTTTTTGTATTTCAGTCTTTCTCCTCTATTGGCTTTTCAGATAACATTTTAAAAGTGGTTACTTAAGATTCCAATAAGCATCCTTAATTTATCATAATCTACTTTAAAATTATATTATATCACTTCATGTATAATGTAAGGGCCTTACAACAGCATGTGATAATTTTTTTATGTTTTTATTAATTTCAGAGAGGAAGAGAGAGCTAGAAACATCAATGATGGAAGAGAATCATTGATCAGCTGCCTCCTGCACACCCCTTACTGGGGACTGAACTCAAAACCCAGGCATGTGCCCTAACCAGGAATTGAACCGTGACCTCCTGGTTCATAGGTCAACACTCAACCACTGAGCACAGTGTCCGGGCTATGATAATAAATTTTTATACAAGTTGTAACTTTTTTAAAACTTCAAATTTTTATATACATTTTAATCAAAACACATCAAATGAAACACTTAAGATTTCACTATATGTGACTTTTACCACAAAACAATAAACAAACTGTAAGCTCTAGTTAATGACATGCATACTGCAGTGTCCAGGAATGAAGTTTACTGATATCTGCAACTTATTTTGCTACACATAAAACAAAAACAAAAACAAGTAAATGGCTAGAGGAATGGCTAGATGGATAAATATGTGACAAAGCACATATAGCAAAAAAATTAATTGTAGAATATAAGTGATTCCATATTTTCTTTGAAAAGCTTTCATAATAAAATATTGAATAACAAGACAATCTTCTAATTCAACATGAATATTTAATCTATTTTGTAATGTCAATCAATTACTGAATGAAACCTTAAGAGCAGTAAAGAATCATGTACATACATTTTGTTCTGGTGATGACTTTCTTAATTTCAGACCCAGCCTGAATCCTAAACTGACAACCCTGTCTGCAAGGCTGTGCAGTTCTCACCCTTGCCTCCATTTCCCATCTCACTAAGCCACCTCTTCTCCTTACTGTTTGCACACCAGGCATATGAGACTTTCAGTTCCCCGGGTCCTGCTTACCGGAGGCCTCCCCATAAACTATTTTCTTGCCTGGAATGCTGCCTTCCCTAAGCCTCTCTTTCTTTTTTGGAAAAATCATGTTCACCATTTAGGTTTCAACAGAATATTATTTCCCCAATGAGGCAATCCCTCATCTCCCAAAGTAGGTCAGGTTTCTATCATGACGGAACTGTGGGGAGCACCGCCCAGGGCCTGAATTGCTCTGATGCCAGCACAGAACCATGGAATTTTCTTCTCAAAGAAAGCAGATGTCATTAACAGGCCCGTAAATTGTCCCTAAATAAGGCACTCCCTTTCTTAGAAATAAGGACTGCATGTAACCTCTAAAAATCCCTGGTCTAAAGCCTATTTTGGTCTAGAAGTCATGCTTTCTTGCTTGTTATGTTACATAAGAAGAAAAATAGGCCCCTTTGGTGCCTTCATGAGAGAGAGGAGAGTTGTGATTGGATATTACCATGGAACCACAACTTCTGCCCTCGAGAAGCAGGCCAGACTACCAGTATGGGTGGGAGACACACACACACACACACACACACACACACACACACTCTCACATCCAGAATAGTAGTCAGGCAGCTTGTGCAGCAGCTTGTGCAGCAGCTCAGTCAGCAGGCTACGGACAAAGTCCCCGTGCTGCTGAGCCCCAATCTCTACCATCTGTCCACAGCCTGCCAGCTCTCACATGCAGGACCATCTGAGCAACTACTGAGCTCCACCTTCAGTCAGAGGTCTAGAAGCAGTGCCGTTACAACTGAATAGTGATGAACTGGAGCACCAGGGAACAAAAAGCAGTAAAAGCCTCCGTTTCCTCATTTGAAACTAGGGGTAATATTACCTATCTCAAAGAGTTTGATTGGAGTTTTAAATTATTTTTTTATTATTATTATTATTATTATTATTATTATTACATTGATGTTATTTCATATCAAAGGCAGTTATGGAAATTCATGGCCAGTTCAGGGACATATGAATATTTTAGTAGGTTGGAGTATAGGACACATGGCAGACATGGAGCTGAAAGTGAGGTAGCAGGCAGATCATGAAGTGCCTTATATGTCATATGAGGAACAGAGCTTCAAATAATCTTGAACCCTTACCTTGTTTGGGAAAGTCAGATTCAGCCATCATCTGGGATTGTTCTTGGATTCCACCTGGGCCCACGCTTACACATATGCTGAGACTGATTCACACCACCTCTAATAGCAAATGCCTGAAAAAAGGCAAGTAGTTAAGTATCTCCAGGGCAGGTACAGTTCTGCCAACAAGCTGTCAGGGAGACAGAACAGCTACAAACCTCTTAGGACAATTGGGAGAGGCCATTCTGAGAAGGGCCGGGTTGGTCCTCCTCAAAGGACCAAAGGACCATGGTAGGTAGCATCAGCTTAGGGTGCCATTATGAGAACTAATGGAGGGAAGGAAAACTTGTCTTTCCTGTAGGGATGATGCTGCCAAGTCCTGTTTTGCCCTGCTTAGCAGAAGAACTTGTACCTTTTGCTTGCTCTATTTATAGAATCTTTTCACCACCTTCATTACCCTTTAGACAATTTTTCCAAGGAATTTGTTTTCCTCCTGTAGGCCACAGGTTCTTCCCTCTTGTTGAGCCATAGATATTTTTGAGAATCTGATGAAAGCTATAGGCCCTCTTCCACCAAATGGACCATGTTCACATCATTTGTCTCCACAATTTCAGAGGGTTTCTGGCCCTTTGTCCATTTGTCTGCTAAATGTGTGTGGACCAGGGGTTACCTCTGCTGTGGAGAATGGTGAGTCGCAGGAAGTTTTTGAGATAAGGAGTTACTGAGGGACCAATCCTTCCAGCACTATGGTGGAAAATGGATTTCTAGGTGGATGGAGTAAAACTGAGACTAAAGGCAGGAAAACTGTTTGTGAGGCTACCATGAAAGTCCAAAGGCATGAGCTAAAGCAGTGTTAATGGAAAGGGAGAGAAGATGACAACTTGGTGAGGAAAATTGTATAACTTTTTGCTTAGATATGTAGGAAGGGGTGAAGGGCACTTGAGTGAGAGGATAGGCTATAGGAATCCCTGTTTATCTTCATGCACCATGGGTGAAGCTTTGGGATGCCAGGACAATGAATTCTAAGGTGCCTTATATTTAAGTCTCCACAGGCCATCTCCCCACAAGTACAGCAACCAAAAATTCCCAATCTGGCAAATGTTTATGGTCTAGCCCAGCTGGCATGGCTCAGTGGTTGGTGTTGACCTATGAACCAGGAGGTCATGGGTTTGATTCCCAGTCAGGGCACATGCCCAGGTTGTGGGCTTGATCCCCACTAGGGGGTGTGCAGGAGGCAGCCAATCAATGATTCTCTCTCATCATTAATGTTTCTATCTCTCTCTCTTCTTTCCTCTCTGAAATTAATATAAATATACTTTTTAAATAATTTAAAAATTATTTTAAAATATTTATGATCTGTAATATTAAGCAATGAAAATAACTCAAAATGAATGTATTAAACTTTCTGGTCCTCTGAAAATACCCTTCATAATAAATCTTCTGTGTCAACTTTTCACAAAACATAAAACCAGGAACAATTTCTCAGAAAGCATCATTTTATATTATAACAGAAATCTATTCTTTTCATAATGGTGGTTGAAGTAGCCACCTAGAAACAATCAATTTTTAAAAGAACATAGAGTACTTCTACAAAGATTTATTACTGGTATGGATTTTCTGTTCCAACTTAATGACTCACCACAAAATCCTTTAGAACTGGAAGTCTCTGTACTTTGTAAGATTGCCAAAGTCAGTCACAGATTGATTCCCTTAAGCATACTTTGAAAGAACCTGCTGCGTAAATCTCAATACTGTAAACCTGCAAACCATGAATCTTTTCCAATCTAGTTTTCCTATTAATGTTGCCTAATGCTTGAAAGTAGAATCACAGATTGGGAAGTGGGGGAAATGGAGGGCCTTCAATGTCCTAAATTTCTGGGCAAAAGCTCCTACAGAACCTGCATTCAGAGGATCGGCCACACGTTTAACAGGATGGAAGCAGAGTACCAGGTCCTGGGGCAGGCAGACCTAATTTCATAACCTCCATCACCAGGACGGGTGAGTTTGAGTCGGGTAAATATTCCTGGGGCTCTTGAATTTATCACAGGAAGGAGACCCTGAAAAATAACGTCTTTCTTGAGTTAGATGCATCCTTACGGATGGTGATACGTGTTGTAAGGGAATGTGTATAGTACTATGATAATGTCTAATGGGGGATTGACTTGGTCTAGGAATGTTAGAGGAGTTTTCTTGAGGTGATTCATTCAGTTATATATTGCTGCACAGCAACCCACTCCAAAATGTAATGGCTTATAACAACCACACCTTAAAAAAGAAAAACCACCCTAGGTGGTTTGGCTCAGTGGATAGAGCATTGGCCTGCAAACTGAAAGGTTCCAGGTTCGGTTCTGGTCAAGGGCACATGCCCAAGTTGTGGCCTTAATCCCCACTGGGGGCCTTGCAGGAGGCAGCCAATCGATGATTCTCTCTCATTGTGGATGTTTCTATCTCTCTCTCCCTCTTCCTTCCTCTCTGAAATCAATAAAAATATAATTTTTTAAAAAAGACCAAGATCTATTTATTTCTTCACAATTTTGTCATTTGGGTTCAGCTCCGTTTCTTTGCTGGTCTTGACCACCACTCAGGTGGCTGTATTCAGCTGGCACATGGGATGAGATGCTGCTAGACTCTCTCCATCTGGTCTCTCCAGCAGGGGAATCAGACCACCCACACGTGGGCTCAAGAGCACATAATCAGAAGCTGCCACCTCTCTTAAGTCTTAGGCTTGAAACTGGCACAGCATCATTATGTGCTGAATCCAATTGGTTACGGCATCACAGGGCAAGCCCCGAGCCAAGGGGACGGGACTACACAAATATTGGAAGGCGTAACTCATCCGGGGCCACGTTGTAACAAACTACCAGGGTGACGTTAGACAGGATCTGGAAAATGAGTGGGAGTAAACTAAGCAGAGGGTGGAAGAATGCTTCGGGCAGGGCAATACTACATGCAAAGCGATTCTGGCAGAGGGGCACCAGGAGCTTCTGAGTGATGGAAAGAAGACCAGTGTGGCTGGGATCCGAAATCAAGAAGACGGTGGTTACCATCCGGAAAGGGCCAGGTCATGCCATGCCATTACATCCCTAAGGAATCTTCTGTGTGCGGGTGGTAGAATCCCAACGAAACCGGCTTATGCGATATAAACAACACAAAAAGAGAGAATGTATTAGTTCATATTCCTGAAAAGGCCAAGGCACAGTTCCTTTCAAGCATGGCTGTATCAGGGGCTTCCAATGATACCACCAAGCATGTGTCCCCCTCCGTCTCTTAGCAGTATTTTCAAATAGCTTCTGAAGTTCTAGGCTTATGGCCTCACAGATTCAAGTCCTATAGAAAAGAAAGCTCCTTTCTCTGAGTGAACAGTGTTCCACGATGGTATCAGTATCAGCCTGGAATCCATGGGAATCAGTTAGCACATTGAAATTAGGATAATTTAAAAAATATATCTTTACCAGCGGGCTGTTTCAGTGGTGTCCTGGAGCTGCCTCACAACAACTTACAAAAGCTGGATTTCCTCCCAATTCTGTGTTTAGTGACTTCAACTGGTAACTTCAAATAGGCCATGATGGGAATAGTTATACCACAGCAAGGGGCTACAAATTAAGGCTTTTTCCTTTCTCCTCCCACTTCCTTCCCACCCCCCCCCCCCCCCCCCCCCCCCCCCGCCCCATCCGCACCCCACCTCACCCCCCTCACCCCCACCCATCTAGCTACTTACCAGCACACCACTGGACTGTTTACAAAGATGTAGGAATCCTACAAGAACCCAGGACTGATGGCAGCAGAGGTCCAAGGTTACAAGGGAAGAGAGAGGTTACCAGAATTCAGGAGGAACAGTGACCTTTAGTTCAGGAACACCAGTCATCTAAGGGGTGTCACAGGAAAGGACCTGGAAGATAAATACCCTGACCTTAATTTTTTTGGGGGGAGGGGGAGGGGGTGGAAGCTAAAATGACATAATTAATTGTTAAAGCAATTACTATTATTTATTTATTTTTTAAAAATATATTTTATTGATTTTTCACAGAGAGGAAGAGAGAGGGATAGAGAGCTAGAAACATCGATGAGAGAGAATCATCGATCAGCTGCCTCTTGCACACCCCCCACTGGGGATGTGCCCGCAGCCCAGGTACATGCCCTTGCCCGGAATCGAACCCAGGACCTTTCAGTCCACAGGCCGACGCTCTATCCACTGAGCCAAACCGGTCCCGGCAAAGCAATTAGTATTATTAAGATGTGGAGCATTTTGCTGCCAGTTTATTTGCTTAATGCTGAAAAGTACAGTGCTACCTCTGGAAAGTCCCCGTGCTGTCCTTGCTGGAAACTCCCGTGGCCAAACCGTTCAGGGTGCCAGCCCCATTCTGTTGTCACGGACTTCCTCCTTCAACTAGTTTCAGATTCACTTCTTTATCTAAGATTAAGTCTTACCATTAATATGGGAATTTGCAAAAAGAAAATGCTGTTTCAAAATAGTAGAGAAAAGATAAAGTATTCAGTAAATAACACTGAAACAATTGTCAAGTCATTTGGAAAATAGAATACCAAGATCATATGTTTACAAAATTGGCAGGAGAGGAAGGCTTTAAAGAAAATACAAAAAGCAAAAATCATAAAGTAATGATTAGGTAGGAAATATTTATATATGTAAATAGATGTGCAATATAGATAGTTATATAGGTATTTATTACACAAAATACATATAAAAACAACTAAATATAAAAAATAAAAAGCAAACACTCCAATAGAAGAAAAGGGGGAAAGAGCGGCCAGGCCCGGAGCAGCTGGGCCCAGAGCAGCCAGGTCAGGTGCGGCCAGGCCCGGAGCAGCAGCTGCCAGGTCCAGAGCAACTAGGTCGGGAGTGGCGGTGACCAGACCCAGAGCAGCTGGTTGTGGAACGAACCAGAGCAACAGAGGCCAGGCCCAAAGCAGCCAGGCCCGGAACAGCTCGCTTCTCGCCTGCCCCTGCCCCACGGCTGCCTCTCAGACATGGCTGGAAACTTTTGTGGGAACTTGAGGGTCTGCTGAATCAAGTGATAAAGGCTTAGATCTGGATGTGTTGAGTTAGTATAGGGCTGGGGTGTTGATCTGTGAGTGGCTTGGGTGGGGCCTGGATGAGGCTGGTTGACCTATTTGGAAATGTCTTTTGTGTGAAATGTATCATTGGGCATGTGGTGGTATTATTGAAATGAGAAAATGCTAAGTAACAGATTTACTATCTGAAAAGGGATTTACTATCAGGGAAAGGGAGGGAGGAAGAGACTGAACATAAACTGTGCACCTATAAATGAAGACAATGGGAGATGGGGAGGGGGCGGAGGGTGGGGTGGGAACCTGGTGGAGGGGGGAAGAAATGAGGAACCTTTGTAACAATATGAACAATAAAGATTGATTTAAAAAAAAAAAAAAAAAGAAGAAGAAGAAGAAGAAAAGGGGGAAAGAATATGAAAAGGCAATCCTATACATAGATGCTCAATTTCATTAGTAATTATGGAACTAGGAATCTACTTTCCACCAACTATTATAGTTTAGCAAAATATAAACACTTGTTAATTGAAACGTTACACTAAATATACACATATATATGTCAAGGCATAAGGAAATGAATAGTCTCAGCCAGAAGGAGTATGAAATGTTAAAGCCATTTCAGCAGCAATCTGACAATACTTTTAAAATTAAAATGTGCATATCTTAGGATCTAGCTATCCTACTTCCCAGTGTCTACCCAGGAGAAATGATGAGACACATACACAAAGAGACATCTGCGAGGACCTTCATCCTGCATTTATTGCAAAATGAAAAACTCCAACCTAAATATCCACCAGTAAGAAAATGCTAAATAAATGAAGATTAGCCTATTCTACAGCAATTAAAAAGAATGAGGTCTACCTATATTAACTGTCATGGAAAGCTCTAAAGATTGAAAAGAATAAAGATATAGAATAAAATACAGTATGGCAAAATAAAAATAAAAAATACAAACAGCCAAAACTGGTTTGGCTCAGTGGATAGAGCGTCGGTCTGTGGACTGAAAGGTCCTGGGTTCGATTCTGGTCAAGGGCATGTACCTTGATTGTGGGCACATCCTCAGTAGGGGGTGTGGTGTGCAGGAGGCAGCTGATCGATGTCTCTCTCCCATCGATGTTCCTAGCTTTCTATTTCTCTCCTTTCCTCTCTGTAAAAAATCAATAAAATATATTTTTTTAAAAATACAAACAAAAACCTAAACACATAAAAAACAAAACTATATGTATTTCTTTAAGAAGAAGGCCTAGAAAAATGAGATGTTGTTCATCTTTGGAAAGTGTAAAAGAATTGGTGCTGTTTATCAAGGAGAATTTAATGTTATCTGTGTTGTTTGATTTCTTTATGATGAGAATGAATTATTTTTTGTGTAATCACAAGTTTTCAAAAATATTTTTTAAATGTCATATTTTATCTTTTTTAAATGGCTTTATTGATATACTAGAGGCCCGGTGCACAAAATTCATGCATGGGCGCGGTGGGAGGAGGTCCCTTAGCCCAGCTTGCACCCTCTCCAATCTGGGACCCCTCAAGGGATGTTCTCGAAATTCTGTTTTTCTGCTTTGTTTGTGGTTTCTCAAGGTAATAACTCAGGAGTGCCTGGGGCATAAGAAAGATGATTACAGATGGGGTCAAATTTCAGGGGAAGGGGCCTGCTGAGAATGAGAATCAGGTGAAAGGTTGGCAGAACCAGTTTTGACAGCCTGTCATCCAGAGTTCAACCCAGGCTCTAGTCCCTGCAGCCGGGGCTGTAGAATACCAGGCACAGAAGAGGTGCCCTCACAATCATGATGGGAACTGGGTGCATGCAGGCACAAGGGACCATTTCCCGACAACCAAGCAGGGAGGGTCACTTTAATCAACCAGGCCATAGCTTCTCTGTGAATGAGACAGTCTGGCAATATCATAATCAGCACAGCAGGTAGGAGGAAGAAGAGGCCAATAGTAAATACATAGCACAGCAATGATAAATTTCAAAAGAACTTTCACACACACTCCCGCTCATTTGTTCACAATCTGGTAGGCTGGCTTGACCAAGGATTGCTATTATCTAGAAACTTCTTCTAAATTACCATTTATAATTTGGTATGAATTTTTGCAAGCCTTTCCTAAGCCTACAGTTAGGATATAATTGAGAACTTCAGCTCCCCAGAATGGAAGCCCCTCAAAACAATATTCTTTAAATACTTGTTCAACATTCCTAAATGGAAAATGTATTAAGTGGTAGTTTATCAATAAAAATTATTTACTTAAGATTAATTTGGTCTTTCATTTCCACTAGTCAATGTAAAATTACCTGTCTTGGACAAAAATCAGCCCAATAATTCCCACTTTTCTGTGATTCTCTCTATAGCTTCCTTTTATGATTTTTTTCTAACCAGAGAACTTTATATAATATACACTGAGTGGCCAGATTATTATGATCTCTGAATGCATAATTATCTGGCCACTCAGAGTATATTCTATATAATAAAAGGCTAATATGCAAATTGTCCCCTCACCCAGGAGTTTGACCACAGGCAGGCCGGCCAACCACCCATACTCCCTCCCCCTTTTTAGGCTGGCTGGACCCCACCCATTTATGAATTCATGCACCAGGCCTCTAATATAGATATAGATATAGATATAGATATAGATATAGATATAGATAGATATAGATATAGATATAGATATAAATATAGATATAGATATATACTGAGTGGCCAAATTATTATGCATTCAGAGATCATAATAATCTGGCCATTCAGTGTATATTACGGAGGTTAAAATGTAGGTAAGAAATATATTTTTTTTTCTGGTTAACTAAGGCCATCCCTTTTATTCAATCCAGGAGTTTAGTTGATGAAGCGGCTTATATGTGCAATCCCAAAGCATCCCAAAGGTGAGTAAAAGTGGGAGGAGATTTTTGTTTTTCTTGTCTTTAAATTCCACTCAAGCACACTGTTAACTTTAACAGGTCAAGGCAAATTTTACGGATGTAAAATTGAAAGAAGCTGTATGTGGAAAACCTGAGTTTGCAGATACCGTATGCTAATGTATTCAGCAATGATTTGTTTCTCTCAGAGACACCTCAGGCAACTGCCTGGCTGGCTTGACCCTTCATGCAACTCTGCCCGCAATATTCACATTTTCAGTAGGCACAGCCTCTTGGAGTCATGGATTCTATATTGTAATGCATGCTATATGGAGGCATTTCCTTTTATTTTTGTTGGAAGGACTGTCAGACTTCAAACAATGGTACTTTTTCAGGAGCTGAGTAAATAATCCATGATTATTCTTTATAAGTTTAAGACTAACTTTTTTTTTTTTTTTTTTGCAAACTGAATCATCTTTTATTACCCCACATAATTCTTTCTGCCTTTGATCATTTTTAATGTCCTTCTCTGGATCTTTTCTAGCTCTCACATTATCTTTGAGAAGCAGAGACCAGAACCCAATGAAATATTCATCATACAAAATATTCCAGGGCCAGGCACACCTTCAATCATAGTCACTTCCCTTTTTCTACAACAACCTGCAGAATTGTTTTCAACCTCTTCTCCTGACACATCTCCCATACCCGT